TTTTTTTAATAATAAAAAAAACATTAATAATAATAATTTTACAAATATAGGACTAATGTTGTTCTTGTTGTGTTATTTTAATTGATGACAATTATTTATAAATGAAACTGAGTTTTTAGATTTTTTAATTAATTATTATAATTAGATAGTTATGAGTAAATTTGTTTTATTGCACCTTCACCTAAATTATACTATTAGTTAGTTTTTTTTTCTGTTATTTTCTCTCTGCTTATGTATGAGGTGTGATTTATTTTTTTGTTAATTATAATAATAAATTTTAATATGTCTATGTATATATTACTTTCTGTACTATTTTTAATGGAATTATTAAAAAATTAAAAAAATTTATTTAGCTAGAAAAAAATGAAGTTTTTTTGGGAATTTTTATGCACTTTTACATTTGTTGTTTTAGATTTATAAAAGGTTTTAAATTTTCCTGTATTTATAGTTTATTAATTGTTTTTTATCTTAATTATCAATATTAATTATTTGGACTTTATTAATTTCTAAATTTTAATTGAGCAAATATAAGTTTTTTTTGGTTTTTTTACAATTTTTTTTTTCTAAGATGAAATGTTTTTTCTTTTAAATTTTGAAATGTGAATATTTAAATTATAAAAAATTTATAAAAAATTTAGTGTTTTAATAAAAAGAAGTTTATTGTTTAAAATATATTATGGTTAAATGCAATTAAGAAAATTGGAGGTTTATTTTTAATTAAAATTCGAAACAAAAAGTTGGCAACGGAATTATGTTACGGTTGGACACCATTAATAAAATCAACTAAAATTAATACAATAATTATCACTTGAAATTAATTAATTTAGAAAATTTTTGTTTAATTTTAAATGACATTATTTATTTTTTAATTTTTAATTGCAAATTTATTTATTACATTTATGTTTTTTTCTATAATTTAACTTCAAATGTTTACAATTTCTAGTTGCGATTAAGATGTTGTGATTTTTCTTTTAAATTTTATAATAAATTTAGTTTATTTACAATAAATATTTTGTTTTTATCATAATGTTTAAGTTTTTTTAATATGAAAATTCTTATGATATGCCTATTTTTTGTTGTTGTTTTTTAATGATATTAACAATGAAAAGGATATTTGTTGTTATGTAAAGTGTATTGGTTAAAAATTATAATTTAATTGGTTAAAAAATAAAATTAACAAAAAAAAAAATGAAACACCTGTCCTGAAAATTTAATTTTTTCAAACAAATAATCTGTTTTGTCGATTTTTAACAAAAATCCCTCGTATTATTTCGAATCTGATAATAATTATTATCCAAACTACATAATTAACTGTTAATTCCTTGATTTTGAAGTTTTTTAAATGAAAAATTATAAAAAATATATTTAAAATCAGGCATGGAAAAATTAAATTAACAAACATAGACTAAACGATCGACTAAAACTATAGACTGGACTATAGACTATACTATAAACTAGACTATAGACTATTATCTAGTCCATAGTGCAGTCTATAGTCTAGTCTATTGTCTAAAGTCTAGTCTATAGTCTTGTCTCCAGTCTAGTCTATAGTGTAGTCTATAGTCTAGCCTAAAGTATAGTATATAGTCTAGTCTATAATCTAGTCTATAGTCTAGTCTATAGTCTAGTCTATAGTCTAGTCTATAGTCTAGTCTATAGTCTAGTCTATAGTCTAGTCTATAGTCTAGTATATAGTCTAGTCTATAGTCTAGTCAACAGTATAGTATATAGTCTAGTTCATAGTCTAGTCTATACTTTAGTCTATAGTGTAGTCTATAGCCTAGTCTATAATCTAGCCTATAGTTTAGTCTATTGTCTAGTCTATAGTCTAGTCTATAGTCTAGTATAGAGTCTAGTCTATAGTCTAGTCAACAGTATAGTATATAGTCTAGTTCATAGTCTAGTCTATAGTTTAGTCTATAGTCTAGTCTATAGTCCAGTCTATAGTCTAGTCTATAGTCTAGTCTATAGTCTAGTCTATAGTCTAATCTATAGTTTATTGACAAACATAGACTAAACTATCGACTTCACTATAGACTGGACTATAGACTATACTATAAACAGGATTATAAACTAGACTATAGACTATTATCTAGTCTAGTCTGTTGCCTTGTCTATAGTCTAGTCTATAGTGTAGCCTATAGTCTAGCCTATAGTCTAGTCTATAGTCTAGTCTATAGTCTAGTCTATAGTCTAGTCTATAGTCTAGTCTATAATCTAGTCAATAGTCTAGTCTATAGTCTAGTCAACAGTCTAGTATATAGTCTAGTCCATAGTCTAGTCTATAGTTTAGTCTATAGTTTAGTCTATAGTCTAGTCTATAGTCTAGTCTATAGTCTAGTCTATAGTCTAGTCTATAGTCTAGTCTATAGTCTAGTCTATAGTCTAGTCTATAGTCTAGTCTATAGTCTAGTCTATAGTCTAGTCTATAGTCTAGTATATAGTCTAGTCTATAGTCTAGTCAACAGTATAGTACATAGTCTAGTTCATAGTCTAGTCTATAGTTTAGTCTATAGTGTAGTCTATAGCCTAGTCTATAATCTAGTCTATAGTTTAGTCTATTGTCTTGTCTATAGTCTAGTCTATAGTCTAGTCTATAGTCTAGTATAGAGTCTAGTCTATAGTCTAGTCAACAGTATAGTATATAGTCTAGTTCATAGTCTAGTCTATAGTTTAGTCTATAGTCTAGTCTATAGTCCAGTCTATAGTCTAGTCTATAGTCTAGTCTATAGTCTAGTCTATAGTCTAGTCTATAGTCTAATCTATAGTTTATTAACAACATAGACTAAACTATCGACTTCACTATAGACTGGACTATAGACTATACTATAAACAGAACTATAAACTAGACTATAGACTATTATCTAGTCTAGTCTGTTGCCTTGTCTATAGTCTAGTCTATAGTGTAGCCTATAGTCTAGCCTATAGTCTAGTCTATAGTATAGTGTATAGTCTAGTCTATAGTATAGTCTATAATCTAGTCAATAGTCTAGTCTATAGTCTAGACAACAGTCTAGTATATAGTCTAGTCCATAGTCTAGTCTATAGTTTAGTCTATAGTCTAGTCTATAGTTTAGTCTATAGTCTAGTCTAGTCTAGTCTATAGTCTAGTCTATAGTCTAGTCTATAGTCTAGTCTATAGTCTAGTCTATAGTCTAGTCTATAGTCTAGTCTATAGTCTAGTCTATAGTCTAGTCTATAGTCTATAGTCTAGTCTATAGTCTAGTCTATAGTCTAGTCTATAGTCTAGTCTATAGTTTAGTCTAGTCTATAGTCTAGTCTATAGTTTAGTCTATATTCTAGTCTATAGTCTAGTCTAGAGTGTAGTCTATAGTGTAGTCTATAGTGTAGTCCATAGTGTAGTCTATAGTGTAGTCTACAGTGTAGTCTATAGTCTAGTCTATAGTCTAGTATATAGTCTAGTCTATAGTCTAGTCTATAGTCTAGTCTATAGTCTAATCTATAGCCTAGTCTATAGTCTAGTCTATAGTCTAGTCTACAGTTTAGTCTAAAGTCTAGTCTATAGTCTAGTCTATAGTCTAGTCCATAGTCTAGTCTATAGTATAATCTATTATCTAGTATAAAGTCTAGTATATAGTCTGTCTATAGTCTAGTCTATAGAATAGTCAATAGTCTGGTCTATAGTCTAGTCCCTAGTGTAGTTCATAGTCTTGTCTATCTTCTAGTCTATAGTCTAGTCTATAATGTAGTCTATAATCTAGTCTATAGTCTAATCTATAGTCTAGTCTAGAGTCAAGTCTTTAGTCAAGTCTTTATTCTAGTCTATAGTATAGTATAAACCCTTGTCTATAGTTTAGTTTTTGGTGTAGTCTATAGTCTAGTCTAGAGTCTAGTCTAGAGTTTAGTCTAGAGTCTAGTCTAGAGTCTAGTCTTTAGTCTAGTCTATAGTCCAGTATAAAGCCCTGTCTATAGTCTTTAATCTAGTCTATAGTCTAAAACCTTGTCTATAGTTTAGTCTATAGTCTAGTCTATAGTCTAGTCTATAGTCTAGTCTATAGTCTAGTCTATAGTCTAGTCTATAGTCTAGTCTATAGTCTAGTCTATAGTCTAGTCTATAATCTAGTCTATAATCTAGTCTATAGTCTAGTCTATAGTCTAAATTTTCCATGACTGTTAAAAGTTATTATAAAAACTAAAAAAGACACCAAAATGAAAATCCAAATAAAAAAAATGTTTATTTATCTCTTAACTCAAAGTTTGTATTTTTATTTGAAATACATTTTTTGTTTTTTTCTTTTCAATCATTGATTTAGTTATTTATTAATTGTTATTAATTAATGAATTTAAAACTAGTTTTAATTATTTTATACACTTCGCTTTTAAACAAAAAAAAAAAAAAAAACTATTATAAACTCTTTAAAACAATCAAGAGTTTTAGCTTTAAATTTATAAAAAAAAAATTAAAAATAAATCATTTAGGGAAGACGTTTTTCTTTACTTTTTTTCTTACTTTTTTTCATTATTTTTTTGTTTATATTAAAAATAAATTTATTTATATATAAAAAAAGAGAATGCTTAAACAGAATGTCAGTGACTTTTTGTAAAAATTTATATTAAAATGAAATAAAAATAAAACAAAAATGTGATAGTTTTGGTATTTTTCTTGCAAATTAGTAATAAAAAAATTAAATAATATATTATTAAAAAATACCATAATTTAAAAAGAAAAAAATCTAAGCAAAAAATAATTATTATAATATATTTAAATAACTAAATACTTAAATATCATGTTTTTTTTTTCAAAGAAGTTTTAAATACAAACTAAAGGAATTTGAAAAAAATATGTAAATAAAAGAAAATTATAAAAAATACTTTTAATTAATTTTAATTTCTATAGAAAAAATAATAATAATGATTTTAATTAAATAACTGAAATTTCAAATCCCTTTTTATTAAATGTTACAAAATTTCTTTTCTATTTAAAGTGAATTTTTTCTTTTAAATAAATAAATTTTTTTAAGAAAAAAATTTCAAACTAAAACTAATGAAAAAATCAAAATAAAACCAAAAATAAAATTTTATACAAAACGGCAAAATGTTGTTGTTTTCTTTTTTATCAAAAAATTTAAACAATTTCTAAAAAATAATAAACTAACTAAAGTTTTATAAAACTCCAATAACAATTACAACTAATGAGCTTGCCATTTAAATTTCGATTCCATTAGCCATTGTTGACCCTGACTAAAGTCACAAGGACGTAATAAAGGTGTTGTGGGATCTTCGCGCGAGGGTCTTTGCAAACAATTGCCAGTGTTTGTGTGTCGTATGGATTTATCCTGTGAATTAACAAGAAAATTATTTATAATTTATAACAAAGACTTTCTTTAAGTAATTTATATTTACCTCTGCATCATATACCCATTCCTGATTACCACCCATATTATGACAACGCACCATATTCACCGGCCCCAGAGCAGCAGAGGCATCTAAACACAAATCATCGGACATGATTTGTTGTCGCTTGGTATAGGCAAACACTTGATTACCGCCCAAGCCGTGACAATAGCTTACACCAATCTTTTCACCATATTTACGGCCCATCGTATCTAAACAGGTCTCCGTTTCGGCATTGCGTATCTAGATAAAAAAAAAATCCAATTAAAATCAAGTTTGTTTTCTATTTCTTTAACTTAAAAACTTACTTCACCCAAATAATAATAGTCCAAGGGCATTAAACTTTCCGGATAAATATTTTCCAAATACCAGCGGAAAGATTTACATTTAAGACGATCACGCAAGGCTTTACGTTCACTTACATCGCCAGCGGAAGCTTTACGAGCACCTATAGGTGGATTTTATTAGATAAAAGAAAATGTTAAAAGAATATAATAATTTGATTAAAATATTTTTTTTTGTTTTTTGAAAATTATTGCAAAATAATTTGTATGTGAGTGTGTTAGTGCTGTAAAAAAATTTTTAAATTTTGTGTGCATTTAATTACATTTTAAGATCAAATGTTTTTGTAAATTTACGCGAAACATTCACAAAAAAATAAGAAAATATTTGGACAAAAAAATATTAGAGAAAATACATGAATCTTATAAAGAAATTTAATTTTTTTTTATTATTTTATTAAGGTTGTTATTCTATAGAAAAAATAGTTTAAGAACAAGAAATTTTTTTTTAGAAAAGATTATAGAATATAGCCTAGGCTATAGACTGTAGACTAGACTAGACTAGACTAGACTAGACTAGACTATAGACTAGACTATAGACTAGACTATAGACTAGACTATAGACTAGACTATAGACTAGACTATAGACTAGACTATAGACTAGACTAGACTATACTATAGACTAGACTTTAGACTAGACTATAGACTATACTATAGACTAGACTATAGACTAGTCTAAAGACTAGACTATAGACTAGACTATAGACTAGACTATAGACTAGACTATAGACTAGACTATAGACTAGACTATAGACTAGACTATAGACTAGACTATAGACTAGACTATAGACTAGACTATAGACTAGACTATAGACTAGACTATAGACTAGACTATAGACTAGACTATAGACTAGACTATAGACTAGACTATAGACTAGACTATAGATTAGTCTAATAGCCTAGGCTATAGACTGTAGACTAGACTATAGACTAGACTATAGACTAGACTATAGACTAGACTATAGACTAGACTATAGACTAGACTATAGACTAGACTATAGACTAGACTATAGACTAGACTATAGACTAGACTATATGATTAGTCTAATAGCCTAGGCTATAGACTGTAGACTAGACTATAGACTAGACTATAGACTAGACTATAGACTAGACTATAGACTAGACTATAGACTAGACTATATGACTAGACTATAGACTAGACTATAGACTAGACCTATAGACTAGACTATAGACTAGACTTAGACTAGACTATAGACTAGACTAGAGACTAACTATAGACTAGACTATAGACTAGACTACAGACTAGACTACACTATAGACTAGACTACAGACCTATGACTAGACTAGACTAGACTATAGACTAGACTATAGACTAACTATAGACTAGACTATAGACTAGACTATAGACTAGACTATAGACTAGACTATAGACTAGACTATAGACTAGACTATTAGACTAGACTATAGACTAGACTATAGACTAGACTATAGACTAGACTATAGACTAGACTATAGACTAGACTATAGCTATAGACTAGACTATAGACTAGACTATAGACTAGACTATAGACTAGACTATAGACTAGACTATAGACTAGACTATAGACTATACTATAGACTACACTATAGACAAGACTATAGACTGGACTATAGACTTGTCTATAGACTAGACTATAGACTAGTCTAAAGACTAGACTATAGACTAGACTATAGACTAGACTATAGACTAGACTATGACTAGACTATAGACTAGACTATAGACTAGACTATAGACTAGACTATAGACTAGACTATAGACTAGACTATAGACTAGACTATAGACTAAACTATAGACTAGACTATAGACTAGACTATAGACTAGACTATAGACTAGACTATAGACTAGACTATAGACTAGACTATAGACTAGACTATAGACTAGACTATAGACTAGACTATAGACTAGACTATAGACTAGACTATAGACTAGACTATAGACTAGACTATAGACTAGACTATAGACTAGACTATAGACTAGACTATAGACTAACTATAGACTAGACTAAGACGACTATAGACTATCTATAGACTAGACCTATAGACTATACTAATAGACTAGACTAAGACTGACTATAGAGCTAGACTATAGACGAGACTATAGACTAGACTATAGACTATAGACGATAGACTAGACCTATATACTAGACCTATAGACTAGACTATAGACTAGACTATAGACGATACTATAGACTAGACTATCTACTAGACTATAGTACTAGACTATAGACAACTATAGACTAGACTATAGACTAGGACAAGACTTAGACTATAACTAGACTATAACTAGACTATAGACTAGACTATAAGGCAGACTAGACTATAGACTGGACTATAGACAGACTAATACTAGACTATGACTAGACTATAGACTAGACTATAGACTAGACATAGGATATAGACTAGACTATAGACTAGAACTATAGACTAACTATAGACTAGACTATATACTATACTATAGGCCTAGACTATAGTCTATAGTCTGATCTATAGTCTAGTCTATAGTCTAGGTCTATAGTCTAGTCTATAGTCCTAGTCTATAGTCTAGTCTATAGTCTAGTCTATAGTCCTAGTCTATAGTCTAGTCTATAGTCTAGACTAGACTAGACTAGACTATAGACTAGACTATAGACTAGACTATATATTAGACTATAGACTAGACTATTGACTAGACTTTAGACTAGACTGTGGACTATATTCTATAGGTAACTCTACAGACAGTTCTATAGTCAAGACTGTAGACTTTTCTATAGTTCTATATTCAAGACTTAACACTGTGTTTACCACAAGCAACTTTTTTTTATAGAAATAGTTGCCATAAAACAAGCAACATTTCTATAGAAATAGTTGCCTAAAGACAAGCAACTTTTCTACAGAAATAGTAGCCTTAGGACAAGCAACTTTTTATAGAAATAGTTGCCCTAAGACAAGCAGATTTTCTATAGAAATAGTTGCCTTAAGACAAACAACTTTTTTGTAGAAATATCTGCCTTAAGACAAGCAACTTTTCTATAGAAATTATTGCCTTAAGACAAGCAACTTTTCTATATAAATAGTTTCCTTAAGAGAAACAACTATTCTATAGAAATAGTTGCCTTAAGATAAGCAACTTTTCTACAGAAATAGTAGCCTTAAGACAAGCAACTTTTTATAGAAATATTGGCCTTAAGACAAGCAACTTTTCTCTAGAAATAGTGACCTTAAGACATAGTTGACAAGCCTTAAAACAAGCAACTTTTTCACAGAAATAGTTGCTTTAAGGCAAGCAACTGTACTAAATATAAACTAATTATCTTTAAGAATAACAAAATTGTTTTTTAATTAAATAATTAAATTTGTTTACTTCTAAATAAGATTCTGTCCTTTTTCTCTTAAAACGATTTGTATGTGTATTTATATATTTGCTACAATTGTAAATTAAAAAAAAATAAACAAAATAAGCGTTTGCTTTTGTGCTCATGGGTTATTTGATTGGAGTGAAGTGTTTGGTTGGTTGTTGGGTTTAACAAGGACATCATCACACAAGGATAACAGATGTGTGCAAAATAAATTCATGAAAAAAAAAAATAAATAAAATACGAAATACATATACAACAAAAATAAACACAAACACATAAAGACAGTTTTTTTTTAATACAAACATGTAAACAGCATGCAACCAAATTATTTATTTATAAAACATAGAAAATATTAAAAGATTAAAAAAAACATATACATATATACAAATACTATAAGAAAAAGCACAACATAAACCAACACCAAGTGTACTAAGGATATTAATAAATAATAAATTTAATTTTAAAATTAAAAATATATTTGACAAGTACTAAAGGAATGTTTAAGATGGCAAAAAAGATTAACTCCAATTGTTTCTTGAAATACAGTATTTATTTAACTTATTTCTTAACTATGGAGTTAATCCTTTTTTCAAATCAGTTTTATACAAATATAAAACATATTAAATTGACCATAAAGAAAAACAGAGAGAAAAATAATGAAAATTGTTTAAGAAGAATAAAAAAAAACATGATTAAACGCATTAAAGCCAAATATACTAAATGTATATAATTGATATTTGTAGATGTAAGTATAGTTATGTATACTAAATACATGATGTAGTATGTATATGACCCATATATGTATGTATGTATATTTAATGTATGTAAATAACAAAAAAAATGTAGTTTAGTTGTTTTTTTTTATTAGTAATTTAGCAGTAATTATAACCTGGATAAAAACTGTAGTAAAATTCTTTCCAATCGTCCAGCCAAACCTCAACCAGACGAGCATTATTATGATTAACAATTTCCGTTGTACCGCCAGGAAATGTATATGGCGTTGATTTGCGAAAAACATGGCCAACACGTGAACATGGAGCAATTTCTAAAACACCGCCACACATCCATACCTAATTGTTATATTTACGTTACGTTTTAAAAAATGAGTTGTTTTTTTGTTTTTGTTTTCATTAAACCCCAAAGATGATTTATATTTTTATGGATTTTTTTTTAAAGAATTTTATTTTATTTGGAAAAAGTTAGTTACGTTGTTTGTTATTATGTTATTAGGAAAGTTTATGAAGATGAATATCAAAAATGAGTGGATAAAGAAGAAAATAAAAGAAAAAAATCGAAAAAAAATAATATTATTAAAAAATAGCAATAGTAAGTTAGAGGTTTAACAATATTTTTGTTAAAAAAGCTGCTGTTATTAATGGATTAAAAACAAGCTTAGCATTGGTTTTTATTGGAAAAAGTTTTAAATCTCATTGCAAGTTTTAATGGCAAATTTTGAGGAAAATTTTATTGGATTAAGACTAACAACTTTTCTATAAAAATAGTTGCCTTAATACAAGCATCCTTTCTATGGAAATAGTTGCCTTAAGACAAGTAACTTTTATATAAAAATAGTTGCCATAAGACAAACAACTTTTCTATATAAAAAGTTGCCTTAAGACAAGTAACTTTCCTATAGAAATAGTTGCCTTAAGACAAGCAACTTTCCTATAGAAATAGTTGCCTTAAGACAAGCAATTTTTCTATAGAAATAGTTGCCTTAAGACAAGCAACTTTTCTATAGAAATAGTTGCCTTAAGACAAGCAACTTTTCTATAGCAATAGTTGCCTTAAGACAAGCAACTTTTCTATAGAAATAGTTGACCTAAGACAAGCAACATTTTTATAGAAATAGTTGCCTTAAGATAAGCAACTTTTATATAAAAATAGTTGCCTTAAGATAAGCAACTTTTCTATAGGAACAATTGCCTTAAGACAAGCAACTTTCCATAGAAATAGTTGCCTTAAGACAAGCAACTTTTCTGTAGGAATAGTTGTGTCTTAAGTTAAGCACCTTCCTACAGAAATAGGTGCCTTAAAATAAGCAACTTTTGTATAGAAATAGTTGCCTTAAGATAAACAATTTTTCCACAGAAATAGTTGCCTTAAGAGCAGCTTCTTTTCTATAGAAATAGTTGGATTAAGACAATCATCTTTCTATAGAAATATATGCCTTAATACAAGCCTTAAGACAAGCAACTTTTCTATAGAATTAGTTGCCTTAAGACAAGCAAATTTTCTATAGAAATAGTTGCCTTAAGACCAGCTACTTTTCTATAGAAATACTTGCCTTAAGACAAGCCACTTTTCTATAGAAATAGTTGCCTTAAGACAAGCAGCTTTTCTATAGAAATTGTTGCCTAAAGACAAGCAACTTTTCTATAGAAATAGTTGCCTTAAGACAAGCAACTTTTCTATAGAAATAGTTGCTTTTAGAGAGCAGCTTTTCTATAGAAGTTGTTGCCTTAAGACAAGCAACTTTTCTATAGAAATAGTTACCTTAAGACAAACAACTTTTCTATATAAATAGTTGCCTTAAGACCAGTAACTTTTCTATAGAAATAGTTGCCTTAACATAAGCAACTTTTCTATAGAAATGTTTGCCTTAAGGCAAGCAACTTTTCTATAGAAATAGTTGCCTTAAGGCAAGCAACTTTTCTATAGAAATAGTTGCCTTAAGGCAAGCAACTTTTCTATAGAAATAGTTTCCTTAAGGCAAGCAACTTTTCTATAGAAATAGTTGCCTTAAGACCTGCAACTTTTCTACAGAAATACTTGCCTTAAGGCAAGCAACATTTCTATAGAAATAGTTGCCTTAAGACAAGCAACTTTTCTATAGAAATCATAGCCTTATAGCAAGCAACTTTTATATAGAAACATTTTAAATTTTCTACAAAAATTACCATCTAACTATACAATAAAATTAAGCATTAAATTTGTTTATATTATAATAATCTTAATACTTAAAAAATAAACCTTCTAAATTAAATTTAAAAAAAAACTAAATTAGTTACAAATTAAAAAATATTATTGTTTTAAATTTGTTAAACAAATAGCAAATAATAATAAAAACAAACTAATGTTAATAAAAAAACAATTAAGTAAAAATTATAAAAACAATTTTAATAAAATAAATTAATAAATAATTAAAACAAATTAAAGTTTAAAATATTAAAAAAAAAACTTCAATACAATACCAATTATATATTTATTAATTATTAGCAATGTGTTTTTGTTAGTGGATTTTTGTTGTTGTTGTTGCTGTTTTAAGCCTAAAACAATTATTGTTAATTACTTTCAATATTAAATAATATTTGTGTTTTTGTTTTTGGTTTTTATTTAAACACACAACACAGAGAAGTACTTAGTATTTGTTGTTAAAGTAGTACGTTTCAAAAAAAAGGTGTTTAATTTTTTGAATTGCTTTTTTTTATAGAAAAACATATTGACATTTAAAAAAAAAAAGATTAAATATATGAGCGCAAAATTCAACCACATTTATTTTGAATTATATAAACAATACGCAAAAGGAAAAAAAAACTAATTTAGTTACAACAATTTTAAGGTGTATTTAACATTTGATTTGATCGTTTTTGAAATTGTACAAAAAAATAAAAATAATAATGAATTTTTTGCTTTAAAATTAAAAATTAAAATGCAATAAAATGCTGGCAAAATTTTATTAATTTCTTTTTTTTAATTCATAAACAAATTAACTAATAATAGAAGCTCTTTTTTAAAGATTGCACAGTTGTGGAATTGAAGGCCTAAGATTTAAACTGATTGCTTTAGGATAAGCCATGTTCCTACAGAAATACTTGCTTTAAAACAAGCAACTCTTCTATAGAAATAGTTGTCTTAAGACAAACAACTTTTCTATAGAAATAGTTGCGTGACAATCAACTCTATAAAAATAGTTGCCCTAAGAAAATTAATCTTTCATTAGAAATAATTTCCTTAACATAAGCAACTTTTTTATAGAAATAGTTGCTTTTAAACAAGCAACTTTTCTCTAGAAATAGTTGGCTTCAAACAAGCAACTTGTCTATAGAAATAGTTGCCTTAAGACAAGCAACTTTTCTATAGAAATAGCTGTCTTAACACAATCAACTTTTCTATAGAAATAGTTGCCTGAACACAATAAACTTTTCTATAGAAATAGTTGCCTTAAGATAAGCAACTTTTCTATAGAAATAGTGGCCTTAAGACAAACAACTTATCTATAGAAATAGTTGCCTTAAGACAAGCAACTTTTCTATTGAAATAAGTTGCCTTAAGACAAGCAACTTTTCTATAGAAATAGTTTCCTTAAGACAATCAACTTTTCTATAGAAATAGTTGCCATAAGACAAGCAACTTTTCTATTGAAATAGTTGCCTTAAGACAAGCAACTTTTCTATAGAAATAGTTGCCTTAAGACAAGCAACTTTTCTATAGAAATAGTTGCCTTAAGACAAGCAACTTTACTATAGAAATAGTTGCCTTAAGACAAGCAACTTTTCTATAGAAATAGTTGCCTTAAGACAAGCAACTTTTCTATAGAAATAGTTGCCTTAAGACAAGCAACTTTTCTATAGAAATAGTTGCCTTAAGACAAGCAACTTTTCTATAGAAATAGTTGGCTTAAGACAAGCAACTTTTCTATAGAAATAGTTGCCTTAACACAATCAACTTTTCTATAGAAATAGTTGGCTTAAGACAAGCAACTTTTCTATAGAAATAGTTGCCTTAACACAATCAACTTTTCTATAGAAATAGTTGCCTTAAGACAAGCAACTTTTCTATAGAAATAGTTGCCTTAAGACAAGCAACTTTTCTATAGAAATAGTTGCCTTAAGACAAGCAACTTTTCTATAGAAATAGTTGCCTTAAGACAAGCTACATTTCTATACAAATAGTTGCCTTAAGACAAGCTTCATTTCTATAGAAATAGTTGCCTTAAGACAAGCAACTTTTCTATAGAAATAGTTGCCTTAAGATAAGCAACTTTTCTATAGAAATAGTTGCCTTAACACAATCAACTTTTCTATAGAAATAGTTGCCTTAAGACAAGCAACTTTTCTATAGAAATAGTTGCCTTAAGACAAGCAACTTTTCTATAGAAATAGTTGCCTTAAGATAAGCAACTTTTCTATAGAAATAGTTGCCTTAAGACAAGCTACATTTCTATACAAATAGTTGCCTTAAGACAAGCTTCATTTCTATAGAAATAGTTGCCTTAAGACAAGCAACTTTTCTATAGAAATAGTTGCCTTAAGATAAGCAACTTTTCTATAGAAATAGTGGCCTTAAGATAAGCAACTTTTCTATAGAAATAGTGGCCTTAAGACAAACAACTTATCTATAGAAATAGTTGCCTTAAGACAAGCAACTTTTCTATAAAAATAGTGGCCTTAAGACAAACAACTTATCTATAGAAATAGTTGCCTTAAGACAAGCAACTTTTTTACAGAAATAGTTCATTTAAGACAAGCTATGTTTCTATGGAAATAGTTGCTTCCAGACAAACAATTTTTCTATAGAAAAAGTTGCCTTAAGATAAGCAACTATTCTACTTAAGACAAGACACTTTTCTATAGAAATAGTTGCCTTAAGTCAAGCTACTTTTTTACAGAAATAGTTGCCTAAAAACAAGAAACTTTTCTATAGAAATAGTTGCCTTATAATAAGCATCCTTTCTATAAAAATAGTTGCCTTAGGAAAAGGTAATTTGTAGCTTTTCTCTTGATGAAAATTGTTTCAACGCCTCAGTTAAAGCAACTTTTCTTTTCCATCAATCCATCAACTGTTTCTGCTATTAATGTTTTTTAACAAATTGATTTTATGTTAGTGTTATATAATTTAAGTTTTTTTTAGCAAATATTAATAGCAATACATTAATAAAAGATCTTCTTTAAGAAAAAAAAAAGAAAATAAATAATTAAATATAAAAGCTCAAAATCAAAAGTTATTATACGCTTATTAAGTTGTTGTGTTATTTATTTGTACGAGTAGTTAAATTGAAAATGTAAGTAGAGAAGAGAAACAGAAAAAAATATAGATTTCAGAAATATCGAACCTGTGCTCATGGCATAGTAAAAATCGCGCCATTCATCCAGCCAGACTTCGGCCACACGTGCTGCATTATGCAGTACAATTTTGGCAACACCACCGGGGAACGTATAGGGGGATTTATCGCGGAAAACATGACCCACATGGGAACATGGTATAATTTCTAAAATGCCGCCACATTGCCAAATCTAAATATATTTTATTTATATTTCAGATTTTGTTTTTTTTTTTTTTTTGTAACAAAATTTTGTATAGTTTTTGTTTTGGTAAAAAAAATAAAGAAATTTATAAATGTTAAATAAATTATATACAAATAATTAAAAAAGAAAATAAAAACTTAAAGAATAACAAAAATATCGGCTAAAGTAAAATAATAAAAAATTATTGTTTAATATAAATAATAAATAAAAATAATATTCTATTATAAAACTACTACATAAAATAAAATAAATAAAACTATCAACTTACCCTAAAGGACATTTCTAAATTTTCACCGCCCCAGATGTCCATGCCTTCATCGTAGGAACCGATTTCATAAAAATAGTCTTTATCTATGGAAAATAGACCACCAGCCATGGTGGGTGTACGCAATGGAGACGTACGATCATTATTGCGACGCTCCATTTCACGTTGAGGAACACGATACCTTTAGATTTTTTAAGAAATTATTTATTATTTATAAATTCAAGAGATTATTTTTTTTTTCAATTCCTACCATCTAAAGTTTAATTTCCAATTGAAACCACCCCATGTGGAATCAGATGCTGTTATATATTCAAATGTTTCATCGGATATAACATCAATAATGGGACATACTACAGTGCGACGATTTTGTACAATACGTGCTAATAATGGTTCCAGCCAACCTTCTGTACATTCACAATGGGCATCGAGGAATGTTATGACTTCACCCTAGAAAAGAAACAATTTTAAATGAAATGGTTAGTTGACTTTTTCTTATAGAATATGGAAACAACTTTTCTGTACAAAAAGCATCTTTTCTATAGAAGCAAGCAACTTTTCTATAGAAAAGATTGCCTTAAGACAAGTAACTATTCTATAGACAAGTAATTTTTCTATAGAAAATATTGCCTTAAAATCAGCAACTTTTCTATAGAAAAGATTGCCTTAAGACCAGCAACTTTTCTATAGAAAAGATGGCCTTAAGACAAGCAACTTTTCTATATAGAAAGTCTACTTAAGGCAAATATTTTTCTATAGAAAGGAGTCGACCAAAGGCAATCAACTTTTCTATAGAAAAGGTTGACTTAAGATAAGCAACTTTTCTATAGAGATTGCCTTAAGTCAAGCAACATTTCTATAGAAAAAATTGCCTTAGGACATGTAACTCTTCTCTAGAAAAGATTGCCTTAAGACCAGCAACTTTTCTATAGAAAAGATTGCCTTAAGATAAGCAACTTTCCTATAGAAATGATAAGCTTAAGATAAGCAACTTTTCTATAGAAAAGGTTGCCTTAAGACAAGCAACTTTTCTATAGAAAAGGTTGCCTTAAGACAAGCAACTTTTCTATAGAAAAGGTTGCCTTAAGACAAGCAACTTTTCTATAGAAAAGGTTGCCTTAAGACAAGCAACTTTTCTATAGAAAAGGTTGCCTTAAGACAAGCAACTTTTCTATAGAAAAGGTTGCCTTAAGACAAGCAACTTTTCTATAGAAAAGGTTGCCTTAAGACAAGCAACTTTTCTATAGAAAAGGTTGCCTTAAGACAAGCAACTTTTCTATAGAAAAGTTTGCCTTAAGACAAGCAACTTTTCTATAGAAAAGGTTGCCTTAAGACAAGCAACTTTTCTATAGAAAAGGTTGCCTTAAGACAAGCAACTTTTCTATAGAAAAGGTTGCCTTAAGACAAGCAACTTTTCTATAGAAAAGGTTGCCTTAAGACAAGCAACTTTTCTATAGAAAAGTTTGCCTTAAGACAAGCAACTTTTCTATAGAAAAGGTTGCCTTAAGACAAGCAACTTTTCTATAGAAAAGGTTGCCTTAAGACAAGCAACTTTTCTATAGAAAAGGTTGCCTTAAGACAAGCAACTTTTCTATAGAAAAGGTTGCCTTAAGACAAGCAACTTTTCTATAGAAAAGGTTGCCTTAAGACAAGCAACTTTTCTATAGAAAAGGTTGCCTTAAGACAAGCAACTTTTCTATAGAAAAGGTTGCCTTAAGACAAGCAACTTTTCTATAGAAAAGGTTGCCTTAAGACAAGCAACTTTTCTATAGAAAAGGTTGCCTTAAGACAACCAACTTTACTATAGAATAGGTTGCCTTTTTTTATAGAAAAGGTTGACTTAAGACAAGCAACTTCTCCATAGAAAAGTTTGCCTTAAGACAAGCAACATTTCTATTGAAAAGATTGCCTTAAGACAAGCAACTTTTCTATAGAAATGATTACCCATAGACAAGCATCTTTTCTATAGAAAGATTGCCTTAAGACAAGCCGCTTTTCTATAGAAAAGATTGCCTTAAGACAAGCAGCTTTGCTATAGAAAACATTGCCTTAAGACAAGCAACTTTTCTATAGAATATATTGCCTTAAAACAATCAATTTTTCTATGGAAAAGATTGCCTTAAAACAATAAACTTTTCTATAGAAAAAATAGCCTTAAGACCAGAAACTTTTCTATAGAAAAGATTGCCTTAAGACAAGCAACTTTTCTATAGAAAATATTGTCTTAAGACAAAAAACTTTTCTGTAGAAAAGATTGCTTTAAGGAAAAACACTTTTCTTTAGAAAAGGTCGACTTAAGAAAAGTAACTTTTCTATAGAAAAAGTCGACTTAAGTCAAGCAACTTTTTTATAGAAAAGGTCTATTTAAGTCAAGCAACTTTTTTATAGAAAAGGTCGACTTAAGACAAGCAACTTTTCCATAGAAAATATTGCCTTAAGTCAAGCAACTTTTCTACAGAAAAGATTGTCTTTAGACAAGCATCTTCCATATTGAAAATGTTGCCATAAGACAAGCAACTTTTTTATTGAAAAAGTTGTCTTAAGACAAGCGACATTTCTATTGAAAAAGTTACCTTAAGACAAGCAACATTTCTCTAGAAAAGATTGCCTTAATACAAGCAACTTATCTATAAAAAATATTGCCTTAAGACAGGCAAATTTTCAGATATATTGTCATTTATCCATGAAAAATAGCACCCACATCTTAGTTTCCTTTAAAAATTGAAATTAATTCAACTTAAGCGGAAACTAAAGATTAAAACATTCTGCTTAATGTGGGGCGGGTGGGGTGTATTATAATCGATAAATTATTACTCTCTATAAAATTAATAACTACTTATTTATCTTAAAATTATAATCTTTGTAGTGGCAAATGTATCATTGTACTTACATACGTATCAAATAAAATAAATGATAGTAAATAAATTAAAGAAGAGAAAGAGAGAGACACACACAGAATAAAAGAAAATATAAAGACACTTACCGTCACATGTTCAGCACCTAATAAACGAGCACGTATTAAACCAGAACGTTTTTGAGTACGTAAAACGAATGTATGTACGGGTAGAGTGGCAACATAGTCTTCTAATTTTTTACCAAGATAATCTGGAAAGTACAAAAACAAAATGAATAAAGAGCAAAATAAATAAACGATATAAAATTGCATATAATGAATTGTATGTTTAACTGAAAAGTGAAAAGCTCTAACTAAGATTTTGATGAAATTGCACCATATATATAAAGAAAAATTGAAAAATATATTTCTTTAAAATTTAATAAAGTAAGTTAGATCGTTTTGCTTTCTAGCTATTACTTGAAGAATGTGATACCCACCTCTTTCACTAGCATCATCGACTAAGATAATTTCCTTTAAAAGGGAACGCGGCGAACGATTTATAACACTCCATACTGTACGCAATAACGTAGTCCAGGCTTCATTATGAAATACTATAACTATTGAGGTGGTTGGCAGTTTTGAGGGATAATGTTTCTTTTTACAGCTGTTGAATAAAAAAACGAACAAAAATTAATAAATTGTAATTTTACAAAACAAACTTAAAAAAAAAACTTACTTTTCATGTCTCACATCGGTGAGTGAACGATTTAGTGAGATCATATCACTAGCTACCAAATTAAATTGATTCTCTTTGAATTTCTCTTTTGTTAACTCTTTCATTTCTGGTGGTATTTTAACGGGTTTACCCATTTCACCCGGTTTTCCTTTGTGTTCTTTTACCGTTGGCGCTGAATACCACTTACGCAGTATTGTACTACGATATGTTGCTGATATGCCACCCGACACAAAACCATGTCCTATTTCACCCACATAAATATTACCGCCACCACCACCGCCGCCACCATCGTTATCGAGATTTTTCTCTGTATTAATTTCATTATCATCGACCATATTTTGATCGATTTGTTTTTGAGCCTCTGGCAGCTGTAAAGAAAAATAAAAGGAAATTCGGTTAATAATAAAGACTATGTATATAGAACTTAAGACTTAAGTCCAGACTAAAACTTTATACAGTCGGGGTAACAGAACTGCCTATAGTCCAGACAGTAGAACTGTCTATAGTCCAGACAGTAGAACTGTCTATAGTCCAGACTATAGAACTGTATATAGTCCAGTCTAAGTGTCCAAAATTCAGTTTATGGAAATGTCTGTAGTCCAGACTATAGAACTGTCCATAATCCAGTTTATAAACTGTCTATAGTCCAGACTATAGAACTGTCTATAGTCCAGACTATAGAACTGCCTATAGTCGAGACTATAGAACTGTCTATAGTACAGACGGCAGAACTTTCTATAGTCCAGGCAGCAGAACTGTCTATAGTCCAGACAGTAGAACTGTCTATAGTTCAGACTAAAGAACTGTCTATAGTTCAGACTATAGACCTTTCTATAGTCCAGACTATAGAACTGTCTATAGTCCAGACTATAGAACTTTCTATAGCCCAGACTATAGAACTGTCTACAGTCCAGACTATAGAACTGTCTATAGTCCAGACTATAGAACTGTCTATAGTCCAGACTATAGAACTGTCAATAGTCCAGACTATAGAAATGTCTATAGTCCAGACTATAGAATTGTCTATAGTCCAGACTATAGAACTGTCTATAGTCCAGACTACAGAAGTGTCTATAGTCCAGACTATAGAAGTGTCTATAGTCCAGACTATAGAACTGTCTATAGTCCAGACTGTAGAACTGTCTATAGTCCAGACTATAGAAGTGTCTATAGTCCAGACTATAGAACTGTCTATAGTCCAGACTATAGAACTGTCTATAGAACTATAGACTATAGAACTGTCTATAGTCCCGACTATAGAACTGTCTATAGTCCCGAGTATAGAACTGTCTATAGTCCCGACTATAGAACTGTCTATAGTCCCGACTATAGAACTGTCTATAGTCCCGACTATAGAACTGGCTATAGTCCAGACTATAGAACTGTCTATAGTCCAGACTATAGAACTGTCTATAGTCCAGACTATAGAACTGTCTATAGTCCACACTATAGAACTGTCTATAGTCCACACTATAGAACTGTCTATAGTCCCGACTATAGAACTGTCTATAGTCCCGACTATAGAACTGTCTATAGTCCCGACTATAGAACTGTTTATAGTCCCGACTATAGAACTGTCTATAGTCCCGACTATAGAACTGTCTATAGTCCCGACTATAGAACTGTCTACAGTCCAGACTATAGAACTGTCTATAGTCCCGACTATAGAACTGTCTATAGTCCCGACTATAGAACTGTCTATAGTCCCGACTATAGAACTGTCTATAGTCCCGAGTATAGAACTGTCTATAGTCCCGACTATAGAACTGTCTATAGTCCACACTATAGAACTGTCTATAGTCCACACTATAGAACTGTCTATAGTCCACACTATAGAACTGTCTATAGTCCAGACTATAGAACTGTCTATAGTCCACACTATAGAACTGTCTATAGTCCACACTATAGAACTGTCTATAGTCCACACTATAGAACTGGCTATAGTCCACACTATAGAACTGTCTATATTCCTCATACTTATTTATCGAAAAAAGTAATACATTTTCTTTCATTAAACTTTTAAATAGTGTGAACGTACATTGTTTTCAAATCTTAAATATAAAAAATGTATCCTTGACTGCGTATCTCTTTCCATATACTTTGTTTACACACAATCAAAGTGATCATAAAATGTATAAAATTTTTAGATATTCAACAAAATTTTATGCACTTCTATGACGATTTAATTAGATTCAAATTAAGATTGTTTTTTTCTTATCGCAAACAATACTCCAATCCATCAAAAATTTCATACATAGTTTGCTTAACTTCAAACACTGTGATTGTGTTGAAAATAGTAAGTTGGGTTTTTGTGTTTTTATAAATATTTTTTTTTTTTTTTTTTGTGAATTTCTCTTGAGCCAAATATTTGTTGAAACCACAATGTATCTTCTTATTGTTAAACATTGGTTTTTATGGGAAACTCAATGTCTTCTTCGTTTTTTTGGTCGTTCTTCAATGCTAGTTTGGCTTTTGGCCAAACATTTTTAAACTATATGTGAGTCGTATGTTTGCCGTACGTTTTAACCAAAAAATAATGTGCACTCATACAAATGGATTTCTTAGAAAAAAAAAACTATAGTACAAAGTAACAAAGAAGTATAGAATGTACATGCACATTGAACTAAACTTCAAAGATGAAGTGATATATCATCTAAACAAGACATCTTCTACTAGGTGGAACAAAATTATAATCACATACATACATATATTCCATACATTGTAAGCTTTTGAATATGAATTACTACAGTGAATGGTAAATAGTATGCACTTGATAAAAATCGGTAGTTCTATAGGCTATGAATCCGGGTCTTAAAACAATGGAAAAGAACTGAACTAGAACTGAACTAGAACTGAACTAGAACTGAACTAGAACTGAACTAGAACTGAACTAGAACTGAACTAGAACTGAACTAGAACTGAACTAGAACTGAACTAGAACTGAACTAGAACTGAACTAGAACTGAACTAGAACTGAACTAGAACTGAACTAGAACTGAACTAGAACTGAACTAGAACTGAACTAGAACTGAACTAGAACTGAACTAGAACTGAACTAGAACTGAACTAGAACTGAACTAGAACTGAACTAGAACTGAACTAGAACTGAACTAGAACTGAACTAGAACTGAACTAGAACTGAACTAGAACTGAACTAGAACTGAACGACTGAACTAGAACTGAACTAGAACTGAACTAGAACTAGAGAACTAGAACTGAACTAGAATGAACTAGAACTGAACTAGAACTGAACTAGAACTGAACTAGAACTGAACTAGAACTGAACTAGAACTGAACTAGAACTGAACTAGAACTGAACTAGAACTGAACTAGAACTAGAACTAGAACTGAACTAGAACTGAACTAGAACTGAACTAGAACTGAACTAGAAACTGAACTAGAACTGAACTAGAACTGAACTAGAACTGAACTAGAACTGAACTAGAACTGAACTAGAACTGAACTAGAACTGAACTAGAACTGAACTAGAACTGAACTAGAACTGAACTAGAACTGAACTAGAACTGAACTAGAACTGAACTAGAAACTGAACTAGAACTGAAACTAGAACTGAACTAGAGTTTTATGGTTAAGTTTCGGGAAGAAATTTTAATGGAAGAAAGGTGAAATCATGGACTGGAAATAAGTCTTCTTTCAGGGTCCAAATTAGAGTCAAAATTTATCTAGTTATATTCAAATTTTTAACCTAATCTTCTATACAGAATGATGTTCTTTAAGGTTAAAATTGTTGTGGATTTAATCAACTATTTTCATAAATTCAACATTCTTTTGACACTCACTGTATGCATTAGTTAATTCCCACATATATACATATGTATGTATCTCTGTATGCCTTCATATGTACTACTTTAACACATTATCATACTTCAAGTTCAACTTTGTTTATTTGTGAGATTTCTGAAAATATTAATTATTCTTGGTTTAACGCGCGCATCTCTCTCAGAAAGTCTGCCAAAGTAAATAGAATGCAATGACAACAACACCCAAGCAACAACAATGTTACAAACAGCAACATCCCAGCAGTTTTTCAAAACGTTAATGCATCACTTATAGATAGTATTTTTGACACGATCCATTTGGTTAGAGCAAAGCCTCCAAGTAAAGCAGAAAAGAAAACAATCACCACTGTAGTGTCTCTTAGTAATCAAGGGAGAAGATGATCTTAATCTTTGTTCATTACATAAATTAAAATAACTAGACCCTATAACTATTTCTGTAACCAGTGTTATCTTACATTATTTATAAAATTTCTATTTCGGGACCGTAACTGCGAACAGCCGGGAAAGCTTTGTCATCATGCTGGTGTTCGAGTATGAATGATGTTTATGCAAATTCGTAAACAAACGCCATGTTCTGAGGAAGTTTTTGAATGATGTTTTCATATTTTTAGTTGTAGTTGCTGTTGTTGTAGTTGTTGGTAAATGAAACGAATATACAGATGTTTGGTAAGACAATACTCTACTAGTAGTACAACTGCATAGATACAACATAAATTAAGCTTAACAACATGGTGTTAATTAAAAAATATGCTGAAGTGAACGAATATTCATGAAAACGTACATAAATAATTTTAATTATTTTTTTTGCCAGTTATTTAGATAGAAATCAAGGTTGTGCAAAATATTAGTTGCATAATTTTCGCAAACAAATAAATTTTAAAATAAAATTTAAGTTTATTTTTAAGTTTTAAAAGTTAATTTTTAAATTTGATTTATAATATGTATAATTAACGAGATAGAATAAAAACTTTTGAGAAACTTAAGTTTTCCAGAAAAATATATAATTTCTGGATTAGTTCTTATGTTTTGAGAAATGTTTATTGCTTCCAAGCATACATACATATGTACATAAAAATCAAAATTTGGTTTGAAAAGAAAATAGAACTCAAATAGTACGGGTTTTGCACTTTAAAACATATTAAATTAATTGGCACAAATATCACGCGAAGTGAATTTTTATATGTTTGGTGAAATTTTGAATACTTTCAAACTAGTTATTTATTAAATAGATTTCTTTTACTGAACAAATATTTAAAATTTACAACTCTTTTAGCCAAAATCGTTAAAAATGTCATTAATGTCTTGTAGTTAAAAAATGCCATTCAATAATATGATATGTAAAGTCATACGATGAATAAAATTACAATAATAAAATAAGAAAGTAGGGAATATTCGACTATGTGATATCCTACATCAGCTATTAGTAATCTTAAACCAAACTGTAACTAGAACTGAACTAGAACTGAACTAGAACTGAACTAGAACTGAACTAGAACTGAACTAGAACTGAACTAGAACTGAACTAGAACTTAACTAGAACTGAACTAGAACTGAACTAGAACTGAACTAGAACTGAACTAGAACTGAACTAGAACTGAACTAGAACTGAACTAGAACTGAACTAGAACTGAACTAGAACTGAACTAGAACTGAACTAGAACTGAACTAGAACTGAACTAGAACTGAACTAGAACTGAACTAGAACTGAACTAGAACTGAACTAGAACTGAACTAGAACTGAACTAGAACTGAACTAGAACTGAACTAGAACTGAACTAGAACTGAACTAGAACTAGAACTGAACTAGAACTGAACTAGAACTGAACTAGAACTGAACTAGAACTGAACTAGAACTGAACTAGAACTGAACTAGAACTAGAACTGAACTAGAAACTGAACTAGAACTGAACTAGAACTGAACTAGAACTGAACTAGAACTGAACTAGAACTGAACTAGAACTGAACTAGAACTGAACTAGAACTGAACTAGAACTGAACTAGAACTGAACTAGAACGAACTAGAACTGAACTAGAACTGAACTAGAACTGAACTAGAAATGAACTAGAACTGAACTAGAACTGAACTAGAACTGAACTAGAACTGAACTAGAACGGAACTAGAACTGAACTAGAACTGAACTAGAACTGAACTAGAACTGAACTAGAACTGAACTAGAACTGAACTAGAACTGAACTAGAACTGAACTAGAACTGAACTAGAACTGAACTAGAACTGAACTAGAACTGAACTAGAACTGAACTAGAACTGAACTAGAACTGAACTAGAACTGAACTAGAACTGAACTAGAAACTGAACTAGAACTGAACTAGAACTGAACTAGAACTGAACTAGAACTGAAACTCAGAACTGAACTAGAACTGAACTAGAACTGAACTAGAACTGAACTAGAACTGAACTAGAACTGAACTAGAACTGAACTAGAACGAACTGAACTAGAACTGAACTAGAACTGAACTAGAACTGAACTAGAATGAACTGAACTAGAACTGAACTAGAACTGAACTAGAACTGAACTAGAACTGAACTAGAACTGAACTAGAACTGAACTAGAACTGAACTAGAACTGAACTAGAACTGAACTAGAACTGAACTAGAACTGAACTAGAACTGAACTAGAACTGAACTAGAACTGAACTAGAACTGAACTAGAACTGAACTAGAACTGAACTAGAACTGAACTAGAACTGAACTAGAACTGAACTAGAACTGAACTAGAACTGAACTAGAACTGAACTAGAACTGAACTAGAACTGAACTAGAACTGAACTAGAACTGAACTAGAACTGAACTAGAACTGAACTAGAACTGAACGAGAACTGAACTAGAACTGAACTAGAACTGAACTAGAACTGAACTAGAACTGAACTAGAACTGAACTAGAACTGAACTAGAACTGAACTAGAACTGAACTAGAACTGAACTAGAACTGAACTAGAACTGAACTAGAACTGAACTAGAACTGAACTAGAACTGAACTAGAACTGAACTAGAACTGAACTAGAACTGAACTAGAACTGAACTAGAACTGAACTAGAACTGAACTAGAACTGAACTAGAACTGAACTAGAACTGAACAAGAACTGAACAAGAACTGAACTAGAACTGAACTAGAACTGAACCAAAACTTTAAGATGATTATCCACTATCGAAGGATATAATTCTCTATTAAAATATTTCAAACTTACCTCTATGTCATATTCTCCGCTACGCTTGCAACGCCAGCCATCTTTGCCAATACAATCGGAATAATGGGCAATTAGCACAAAGTCCACAATCACCCAAACTAAAGATGTGAGTAAAATTATACGGCAGGTATTTGAACGCATACGACCACGTAATTTACGTGTTAAACTTAACGAAGACATTTTGTTGTAGTTGTTTTTACAATTAATTTATTAACTATAGGTTGCTATCGCACTTTATCTCTCTCTCTCTAGCTCTCAGTTGATTTGTCAAGTTGTAAGTATTGGGGATTTATTATTGTTGTAACAGCATATGTTGTTTACATACATACGTGCAGCTCGTTTAACTGATTGAGAGCATGAATTGTTAAGTAAAGTGTAAATTACTTGGCTTGTAATTGCGAATAAAAATCAGCAATAATTACAATGTGATAATGACACAGCAGCAATTGCAGCTGAAGTAATATAATGTAGGAGTAATATTAATGATGTGATAGTTTTTCTTATTGGTTTTATTAAAAAAAAAAAACAATAATAAAAATTAAGAATAAAATTGTTGCTTCAGTTTGCTTTCGTTTTTAGCTTTTAAAATAAGTTGTAGTCTTGAGTTTTTAAAGCTTTCTTGTAAAAAAATTATAAAAGTTGCAGAATAAAATGCTAGTTTTAATAAAAAAACGTAATTACAGCGTTTAATTTTATTATTTTTTTGTTTTTCGTATTTTTTGCTATAGTTGCTATTGGTTTCTTTTGTAGTTTTATTTTTGTTGTTTTGTAATTGTGTTTTATTGTTTTTGTTTTCAAAACTATTACAACTTTATCACGTTGCTGTTGTAAGTTTATGTAAAATGCAATTATTTAAATGTTGCCTTTGGTGTAATATCATTATCATTAACAAGATCATTAATATTACAGTTTATTCGTCGTTCGTAGTTGTTGTTATTGTTATTGTTATTATTGTTGTAGTATTTTCATAATTGTAATTAAACTCAGCATATCAGCAGCCACAATTTATCTGAAAAGAAAAAAAGTTAAATGAAATCAGTGATGCGTTTAATATAAATTAAGATTTTGTTATAGTTTTACTTTTAATATTTGAAATTTTTGTTAATAAAGAAGGAGATTAAAAGAAAAAAATTTGGCAATTGGAACGGCAATATGAAATGACCGTTTACGAGTAGTTTGGGGAACGGGGAGAGAGAGGGGGCGACTGACAGTTCTTTTTATTGTCAGGCAAAGAAAACGCTCGAGTGGGAAGAGGCGGGAAACGGACAGGAGGACACGGGACAGGCGGAGCGAGCGAGCGAGCGAGCGATCGAGCGAGCGAGCGAGCGAGCGAGCGAGAGCGAGCGAGCGAGCGAGCGAGCGAGCGAGCGAGCGAGCGAG